GGCAACAAGGAAGTAGCCCCAGTACCCTCCCCTTGCTCCCTCCCTCTAGCCCTACGGTACATATGCTGTAGCAGCTTCCGCAATAAACGAGACTTGATCAGAAACCTGTCTTGTCTCCATCTCTCGTGTCTCTTGTCCCTTGTCATTCTCACTCCCCCTCTAGGGTCTCCGTTGACGTACCCGCGGGCCGGGACACACGACTCCAGAAACAGGACTTCCACCGGAGTCCTCTCTGTGCTGCCCACAGGGCGGTCCCGTTTTTACCACCCCAAGTAATGCGGCCGTGAACATCAGTGTTCAGACTTCTCACGAGTTCATTCGCGAACTTGGTGTGTCTTCAGAAATGGTGTTTGTCTCAGGTGTCGGCCCCGGGGTCTGCGGGAGAGAGATGTGGACGAGTCCGAAACATTAAGTAGATGTTGAGGAATAAGATGCCCCAAGGACACCCTGTAAGTCCCACCAGACCGCCTTTCCCGCAATGCAGGTCCCTATTCCTCCATTTCCGATGCCGTTTCCCATTCGTACAACTTCCCCACGCAGCTGGGCGGAGCCTCCGCGCTCCTCCGAAAAGGAGCCGGGGAGGACTCCGCACCCGCCTGCCGGTCACGCAGCGGCCAGAACCTTTGCGCCTCTGTGTCGGTGCGACCGCTTCGCTGGCTCCGGTCCTCAGGTCGCTGTTCTGGTTTTCGCCCAGGAATCAGCGTCTAAATCTTCCAGCTCCCAGCGACCTGGAGCGCAGGAGGTGGGGGTGCAGTCCTCGCCCGGCAGCTCGTGGTCTTCATCTCTTCCTTCCCACCTGCAAGGCGGTGCTCAAAAACGACAGAATCTTTCAAAATTCCGAGGCTGTGGGCTTCGTCCATGGAGACATATTCGAGAAGCTGAACGGGGCTAAACTTCCCAGGTCTAAGTGCCTTTTAGGGGCGTCACCCATGAATTTAGGGTTATGGCCCTCAAATGGGGTTCTATTCCAGAATTTGACAAGAGGGTAAAGAAATAAAACTTGGTCGGCATAGGAGCAGGTAGCCAGGCACGGTGGCACACGCCTGTAATCCCAGCACTTGGGAGGCTGAGGCAGTTTTGCCCTGAGTTTGAGGTCAGCCAGGGCTACATAGCAAGACCTTATCGCAACAAACAAACAAACAACACGAGCAGGAATAACATAGAGGCAACCTTTCAAATATTTTCTAAGCCTCAAATTTTTCTCAGATATTAATAAATCATTAAGTCAAATATAAAATGGCGTAAAATAAAGTACAATTCCAATAATTAGTGAAGATATGTGCATGGGGATGTGTCTGGTATGGTTCAAATCTAGAAAGAGATTCTAAGAAGTGAAGGGAAACTGATGAGTGGTGATCATCAATGAGATGGGTTATAATCCCATTACAGAATTATGGAAATGTTCCCTAGTAATCGGGCTCCTTTACATTCTTTGGTTTTTTAGTTCACTAAAGCAACTTCTGATTAATAACTTGCGGTCACTTCTCAGGCCAGGCACATTTCCCCCTATAATGGCAATGTCTAGTTTCTCTACTCTTTCTTGTAAATTTTGGTATCCTGAACACATTCCTTGGATGCACTCCTAACACCACCACACTGGGGATTAGGTTTCAACACAGGAACTTCTGGGACATACACTCAGGCCATAGTAGTGCCAGTACTGCGTCAGTACTTCCTGTTCATAAAACGGAAGCTCAAGGAAACACTGCCGAGGAAGAGAGGCCAAGGGGGAGTCAGGTCTGCAGCACCTTGCTTGCTCGGATCTGCATGTGGCCCCCGGGTTCAGGCAATGAAGACTTAATCCCCAAAGCAACCATGTGGGGCCTGGGTGCTTAGGCCGAGGGAACTGTGGTCTCAGATGGATTAAGCCCCTCTGAAGGCTGGGTGGAGGCAGGGCGGGGACGACTTCTGCCCTTTCCCCTCATCAAGGACACAGCACAGAGCAGGATTCGCCAGATATGGAACTGCTGGGCCTTGATTCTGTTCTTCAGCCTCCAGAACTGTGAGAAAATGAGGCTGTTCCTTATAAATTATCCAGTGTCAGACATTCTGTGATAACAGTGTAAATGGACCAAGACAGTCCTTAAGGTTTTTCAGCCTTCAATTCCACGAATTACTCAGCAATAGCGGAGGAGCAGACTGGTCAGTTCTCGTAGGGAAACATGAGGTTAATATTTTTAAAAATTAGGAAAACCCTTGTACGGTAGAAATTGAATCTAGATAAATATATGAAAATAACAACAACAGACCAAGACTACGCTTATTCTTGACAATAAACCAATGTGCACATCTGAGAAGGGGCAACCCGGAAGTGAAAGCTAACTAAATCTCAGTTGGACTTGACCTGCCCCCCATTTTCTTGTTAATAAACAAAATCTTCTTCAGCCTTTTTTTCTACTTCCTGTAAAGTATGTCCCGAGAACTGAGCTTTCTAATAATATTTACTAATACAATTTCAGAACCTAGTAGTTTTAAAAATGAGAGAATATAATAAGGTACATCGTTCGCAAAGTTCTGTGAGGGTAAGACCCGCTCCCCTGAAACTGCTGCTACAATTGCCCTTTAGAGGCCGTCCGCGTTTGACCGGAGGGGTTAAATTCCTTCTCGCCTGCACAGTTTGGAGTTTTGTGCATATTAAAACTGTTGGGACTGCTATTACAAAATATACCAGGTGGCTTATGAATAACAGAAAATTCGTATTGCTTTAGAGGCTGGGAAACGCAAGATCAAGGAGCCAGCACATTCAGAATCGGCCAAGGGACCGCTCCACTCCCCAGAGGCAGACTTCTTGCTCCTCCGTTTTCTGCAAGAGCAGGCCCTCTTTTATGAGCCCTCTAAACCCTCGAAAGCTCCGCTTCCTAACGTCGCCACACGGGGGTCAGGTTTCAAGGCCTACAGCACGAAGCAGGGCCTGTATTGAGAACTGCCTCACAGTGGCTTACGTTAATATACATGCAGAGGTCTCCCTTAAGCTCCGACGTTAGGCGCTGTTGTGACTCCTGAAGACCTGCAGCTCCGCACTCACTGTAGCTCTGCTCCCCTCCTGCCTGATACCATGCTGATGGCGGAAATGTTGGCCCTTCTAACCTGGCACTTGAGGCTTGTACAATTCCTCTGTTGCTGAAAGAAAACCTTAAGATTAATTTAGCAGTAACTGAAGACGGTTTCACTTAAGCCGCCCAGTTAAAGAAACGTCTACAACTGTGCGTTTTATTTCAGAACCTCACTTGGTGAGTTTTGCAATTCCTACCGTCCTGATTTCGAGAAGGCAGTCCTGGGGGTAGCGCTGCCCCTTGCCCTTCCTGCCTTTCCCTACCAGTGGCCAGAACACCTTTCACATCTGCCCAGGGGCTGCTCTGAGTCCTTCCGGACCTCAACAGCAACTCTATTCTGGGCCCTGTGGAGTTTTCATCACCTTAAGGCACATTTGCCAAAAGCCTTGACTTCGCAAAGTAGAAGTGAGTGCCAGCTGTCTTCAGAAAGAGTGGGTGGCTCTGAAAAGAGCCTTTGTGGGCAGCGTGAGACTCACTAGCGGGCTCACTTGGCGCTGGTGTACTTGGTGACGGCCTTGGTGCCCTCCGACACGGCGTGCTTCGCCAGCTCGCCAGGCAGCAGCAGCCGCACGGCCGTCTGGATCTCCCGCGACGTGATGGTCGAGCGCTTGTTGTAGTGCGCCAAGCGCGACGCCTCGCCCGCGATGCGCTCAAAGATGTCATTCACGAAAGAGTTCATGATGCCCATGGCTTTGGACGAGATGCCCGTGTCTGGGTGCACCTGCTTCAGCACCTTATACACGTACACCGAGTAGCTCTCCTTGCGGCTGCGCTTGCGCTTCTTGCCGTCCTTCTTCTGCACCCTGGTCACCGCCTTCTTCGACCCCTTTTTCGGGACCGGCACCGACTTCGAGGGTTCCGGCATCTCGGACCGAGAAGGAGAGCAATGAGGAGCCAGCCAACCCGCGCTGCCTTATCTAGAGGGCGATACGTAAATGAGGCGCGGAGAAGGTCTGCGGCGATTGGTGATTGTGCTTCTGTGACGTCACAATCCAGGCTCGCCCGTTGACCGTCCGCGGCCCGCACGGCCGCCTTCCATTGGTCTAATCGAAAATGAAAAGTGGCCAATCGCAGCGCTGCCTTTTCGCCCCCGGACGACGCCATAAAGAGCGCTTTCTGTCCCTCTCGGGACGCTGGTGAGTGACTCCGCCGCTGGGCTTTAGGAAATGTCTGGACGCGGCAAGCAGGGCGGCAAGGCTCGCGCCAAGGCGAAGACGCGTTCGTCCCGCGCCGGGCTGCAGTTCCCTGTGGGGCGCGTGCACCGCCTGCTGCGCAAGGGCAACTACGCCGAGCGCGTGGGCGCCGGCGCCCCGGTGTACCTGGCGGCCGTGCTGGAGTACCTGACGGCCGAGATCCTGGAGCTGGCGGGCAACGCGGCGCGCGACAACAAGAAGACGCGCATCATCCCGCGTCACCTGCAGCTGGCCATCCGCAACGACGAGGAGCTCAACAAGCTGCTGGGCAAGGTGACGATCGCGCAGGGCGGCGTGCTGCCCAACATCCAGGCCGTGCTGCTGCCCAAGAAGACCGAGAGCCACCACAAGACCAAGGGCAAATGAGGTCCGCAGGACTTGGAAGCTCAAATTCTCTGTTAAACCAAAAGGCTCTTTTCAGAGCCACCGATTTTATCATTGAGAGTTGCTGTGCCACACTGTTAAACTGCAGTACCTGGAAGTACCTAGGCTTTTAACCAGTCTGAGATTAGCAAACAGGAAACAGCCAGTGACAATTACTGTCATTTTTCTAGTCAGGTTTAAATTTCAAAGGTAAACTCAAAGTGTAGACAATTTGTGATGGGAATTAGCCACTGGAAGTACGTTAACCCAAGGTCATCCTGGGCACTGGTGCTATACCAAGCACCTCGGTAATAGCTGCTCCAGATAGAAAAGACCTGTCTCCCAGGAAAATTGTTTTGCCAAAGAATAAGTTGTATAGGCTGTGACAGTTACGTGTGGTGTCTGGGGTTGTATTAGGATTGTGTTAGGAACAGTGGGCTCTGTAAATCATATTCTTTACCTTAACATTGTATGTGCAGGACCCATTTGAGACCCTTTCCTTTTATCTCAGGAGCTATCCTTATTCCCCATTCTTATTCCCTATTCCTATTCTTCATTCCTATTACTCATTCCTATTTCCCAGTAAATTTTCCTACTCTTAAAAAAATTTTTAGCCAAATATGGTGGCCCATGCCTGTAATCCCAGCACTTGAGAGGCTGAGGCAGGAGGATGGCCAGAAGTTGGAGGCCAGCCTGGGCTACTCAGTTTGATTTCAGTAAATCTAATTATCAAATTGTTCACTCAAAGTCATCTGCATTAGCCGGGCGTGGAAGCCTAGGCCTGTAATCCCAGCACTCTGGAGCTGAGGCAGAAGGATTGCCTTGATTTGAGACCAGCCTGAAGTACAAAGTGAGACCCCCATCTCAAAAGACAAAACCACAAAGTCATCTGCATTATTCATTCACATAAATTTTTAAAAATTGCTTTGATGGGAAGGATCCAGTAAACGATGGAGCTTCAAGGATAGTCTATGAGTTCTTTCCAACTTTATGAAAAATTGTTACTGATGATGATGATACAATTAGGATTCGCTCTCCTGGGATAAAGCATCTGCTCTTCAACTGACACTTGAACTGTCTATATTATCAGAAAAATAAAGGTTTTTACAAATAGAAATAAAACTGATGTGAGCAGGACAGACACCATCTTCTGCTTCTGCCTGGCTCTAACGTTACCTTCGGAGTAAACTAGCTTGTGATAACCATACCACGGTGGACCTGTGTGTGATGGCCACAGCGTGACAACTATGCGGTCTTCGTACCAAAACACTTCTCCTGTGAACCCTTCCAAGAAACTTATAAAAATACGTTTTCTAAAGAATATATTGTTACTACCACAGGATTAGCACATGTTATTTGTGCACAGTATAAGATGAGCACATGTTTGCACCGAACTCCCCACAGCACAAAAGACGAAGCCCCGGGGCTGCTCCTAGGCTCAGTGCTCTGGCTCAGTGCTTGTGGTTCTGCCTGGGCACTGCTCTTCCCAGAGGTGCCGGCCTGCTGTGGTCATCACTGCTGCCAGGACGCCCCCTCTGGTTCCCGCCATCCTCTCTCCGGATCGCCGCCAGCTCCAGCGCTGGCCCTGGCCCAAGCTCTCACAAGCGCCATCCAGGTGGAAGAAGGGTCCTGTGCGGTCGGCGTCACATCCGCTTCCAGTTTAGGCCGTGGGTTCGCTTCCCTGTCTGGCTGCGAAGGCGATAAATGCTCAGTAAACCTTGCTCTCCGGAGATGGCGCGACTCGGGATCTTTGCTGGGCAGACATGCCGGGTCCCTCTGGTTCCCCGGAGTCGGAGAGTGGCCGAACTCTGGGCTCCAGTGGCCTCCTTGTCCGCTCACAACACAAAACTGTCCAAAAATTTTGATAAAATACATGTTTGTAATTGCAATTAGTACCCGAAGAACTCTTATAAGTAATACTGTCACTTTATTATGGAAGTTGTTTTTGTTTTGGGGTTTTTTTTTTGGTACGGGGATTGAACTTGGCACCTTGTGCTTGCAAGGCAGGCAGGAACCACTGAGCTAAATCCCGGAAGTTATTTTTGTAAGAGATAAAATTCAATTTGAGTGGCAGGAGATTTATGAAAGCATTATTTAAACTTTTTGTTTCTAGATTAATTCCCCTTAATTTCTCTTGGGGAAGTAAAAACACAACAGTGTTTTCCCTTATTAGATTTGTGATATATCTTCTTCAATCTTTTACAAAGTCTCTAGGGGGAAAGATTGAACTTTATTATCTATTGCAACCTCATAGACTCTTAACTCGATGATGATCTCATTAAAAATAATCAATACCCTGGTGTGGTGGCGCACACACCTGTAATCCCAGCACTTGGGAGGCTGAGGCAGGAGGACCACTATGAGTTTGAAGCCAGTCTGGGCTACATGGTGAGACTCTGTCTCAAAAACTCCAAAAATAAATAAAATAAAAGGCCAATAAATTGATAATTTCACACTAGTAAAAATTCTCATGAGTAAAGGTAAACAGTATATTATATAATACCTAAATTGAAAATTCAACTAGGAAGAAATTGAACAGAAGCCTGTAAATTTGGGGGGGGGGGGTGTTGTTTGTGTTTTTGGATTAGGATCTCTCTGTGTTTAGGCTGGCCTTGAACTACGGAGCCCAGGCTGGTCTCTAACTTTCGCAATCCTCCTGCCTCAGCCTCCCCAGTGCTGGGATTACAGGCGAGTGCCAACACTCCCGGCTGGGCTCTAGGTTTTAAGGGAAAGAGTCGTCCATGTGTAGGTGCAGACTCCGGCGCTTAAGCCGCTCAAGGTAACTAAAGGTTGGAGGCAGCCGAGCGGCAAGGACAGTGGGGAGACCGGTGACCCTTCGTGTCCCTCCGCCCTCCGCCGACCCGATCCACCTGGTACAGCTCTGCGTGGCTGCTGCGGTCCACCCCCTCCCAGCGGCCACAGGTCCGCCGCAAGCTGCCCGCCTCCCCCCAGGCCGGGCCTGGGACCGGGCGCTCCTGAGGTCTCGAGCGCTGTTCCCATCCTGGATCTTCAGGGTCCCCCACGCAACAGCCAGCAGAATGGGTCACCGCGCCGGTTTCCCGCAGCTCCTGAGTGTTCTCCTCAAGGGCTCCGGGACGAACCCCGCCTTCCGGCGGGCTCCTGGCCCAGCTCCGCGTCCGCTGCGCCCTGCGCGCCCTGCGCGCCCTGCTGCCGGCTGCTGAGCCCGCGTGCCCTGCGAGGCTCCCTTGTGCGGCCGCGGCCCAGCCTGCTGCCGCCCGACTCCTGGAGGCCACGGGGCGGCTACACGACTCGCCAAGGCCGCGGCAGATGCATCTGCTCACTGCTCCCTGCCCAGCCGCCCTCCCTCACCCGGCCGCTGGCCCTGCGCGGGCTCAGGGACGCGCTGCGCCCTCAGTGCCGGTCCCCGCAAGTCCGGGTTTTAGGGACTTAACCCCAGCACCGAGGCTTCGCAGCCGGCGCTGCCTGAGGGCCCCGCGCAGCCAACCAGACGCCCTGACGCTCGGGACCGTTGGCTGGAAACGACCGCGTCCTGCTGCCAGGTCCCTGTGCCCTTTGTCTCCAACCAACTGTGGGTTGATCTTGAAGCAAATCCTATCCTGTGGGCTGCAGGCAAATTTTTAGCTGACTGTAACGATACGAAGGGAATGTCAGTCTTCTGATTTATAGCTTGTTGAATGCATGTAAAACACAAAAACGAAGCATGCTCAACCTACCTGCAGTGACTGATGCAAAACCAAAGGAGTGGAAGCGTATTTTACAGTATGTCACTAATGCACTGTGTAGCTGGGAGTGGTGACACACGCCTGTAATCCCAACACTTGGGAGGCTGAGGCAGGAGGACTCCCGGAGAGTTGGATGCCAGCCTGCGCTGCATAGTGAGTTCAAGGCCAGCCTAAACTGCACAGCAAGACCCTGTCTCAAAAAACTAACACACTGTGTAATGTATGCAGTCTTAAAGTCGTAAGTGTTAAAGTGAATTTCTTCATAGAGCATCTGAATTACCTTAGGTGATTCTGTGGCCTTTGGGGGTTGATGTGTGCAGCAAGTTAGGGACAAGGCTTTTAGTCTTCCGCGGCCTGTCTTTAACACCGACAGCAGCAGGAGGAGCTGCAGAGACCAGGACAGTAGGGAGGCCGCAGTGGCCAGAGCAGCCTGTTATAGGGCTCCTGTCTCTGTTCCGCCTGGAGGAGTCAGGGCACAGTGACACTGAAGATCGCTGTGAAACATTCGGGTGGTGTGGCCAGGACACGGGTCACCATAGCCCTTCCAACCCCTTAAGGAGTGTCTGGACATGTTTCCTCCAGTCCGCCTTTCCATTCTCGTGCTCATGCTGTGCCCATATGTGCCTTACTCGCTAGGCAAAGTTTAATCCTCACCTAGACACTGCCAAACTCCCAGTGATAGAGCAGATGGGAGCAGTGATAAAAGGGCCTGGATCCACTGCCCCCAGGAAAAGTCTGCCCAGGGAGGCACAGGCCCTGTGCTTCACAAACATGCTGTACTTTTATTCTAGATAAGTGGGACAGTACAGCAGGGTGCAGGCAGTACAGCAGGTGTCCCAGCAGAGCTCATGGGATTCATGAAGTCCACTAGCCCATCTTGGACTCTTCCTCGCTAGTGCCTGTCTCCTCTTTCTGCTCGCCGATTTATTGTTGCTATGCCTACTCAACCTTTTTGGGAGATTTCTCACCAACAGGACTGCGGCCATGTCACAGGCAGTGGCCAAAGACCACATCAGTGGGGCTCCCTCTGGTCCAGCAGAAACCCCAACAATCACACCCCTACTCAGCAGGAAGCAGTTCAGGAAGAGGCGCTGCCACTGTCCTTATGTAATTGTAGAGCTCACTGCCCCCCTCCAGCTCAGCAGCACCCTGGGACTCACAGCAGAGACAGCCCTGCTACTGATGTAGCCACTGCTCCCGCGCTTCCCCGAGCCCCATCCTCGGGCCACCATCTCTGCTTGTGCCCTCTCGAGCCTCATTCCTGGCCGGAAGCCTCAGCCTCTCTCCCTGTGACCCTGACCGGGGAATGTGTTTCTCTGCAGTTAAAGCCAAACCTACTGGTGGAAGTTTTCCCCCATTCCCTCAACGTGTTCAGGCTTCCGGACACCCTCTCAAGCATCTCAGGAATTTTCTTTATTCTAGGTTTTATTACTTCTACCTCCCGCCAAATGTAAATGGGATGTGGTTCTGTGCACTGAGCTTGGGTCTGTAATGTCTGATAACCGAGGAATTTGCTGGGCCCGGAGGAACTGTGCTCTGTGTAACTGTCGGGAACAGGGAAGGGGACATTACTAGGACCTCTGCAGTGAGTCCTCATCTCCTGCGAGCCACAGCAGCACAAGGCAAATTAACTTATTATGCAGGAAAGGTAGAAAAGATGAGACTTGGAGAAGAAGCTGGGCTTTGGGCCTGATCAGTGCTGCTCTGGGCGGCAAGGAGGACAGCCCCCAGCTTACTGCAGCTTTTATTCAGTACACCAGGAGGAACAAATGTAACAGATGACTGGGGGTCCACGGAAATCCAAGAACAATGAGGAACTGAGTAGATGAAGACTTTGTTCCTCCCAGGATGTCTTCAGCTGGTGTAATCTGGTCCTAGAGCATCACAGCATCACAGCATCACCGGATCATTGAGGTCTCAGTTGTGACCAGAGGCCAAAATGCAATTATGTCTCGAAATGCCCTAGCTGGCCTGTAGGCAGGAGAACTAGGCCTAATCAAATGATTTTTTTTTGTTTTGGTACCGGGATCAAACTCAGGTCCTTGCATATGTGGGGCAGGCGGCGGCACCAGTGAGCTAAATTCCCGGCTAATCAAATGATTTTTCCCCCAAATTATGTAGCATTGCTCCCAACATGTAACCAATAGAAAGTGCTCAAGTCCCGCGAGCCCGCCCCTGCCCCTCCCAAGAGTATAACCTGCTCTGCTCAGCCCCAAAGGGGGATCAGTCTCTTTGTGACAGTCCCAGACTGACCCGCTGGCGATAAAAATAAAACTGTACACTTTGCCTCCAAAACTTCTGGGTGTGTCTTCCACTCTCCTGGACGCCCTGTCTGTATGTTCGGGCTGCCACTTTGCTGCTACAACCTTACAGATGACCCCATAACCTGTACAGAGCAGCTGGTCTGCTCTCAGTGCCAGCGTGGTCCCTGTCACGTTTGCTCTGCAATAAGCCTGTCCTGCGGAGCTCAGGCCTCCGTTTCTTCTTTTCCTTTCTTCTAGCAGGCATAATTTGGGGTAATGGTGTGTTCGCACTCATGCTCTTTGTGTTGGTTGATTGGGAGAAGCATGGCAGGATTTTCAACAGCACAAGACTGAAGGGGAACATCTGGGTTTTCAATGAGAATGGCCTGATATCTAGTGAGCCTTTCTCCAGTCATCCACAAATGTCCGTTGAGTTCTGACAGAGCCTTAACTTGATGTGGGGTTAGAACTAACTCTTTTGTCCTGAAATTATCTTAGAAGCTCCCTGGACTAAGGGTGCTGTACTGGTAGCCCTATTCTACTCCATCCAGTTGCTTGGAAAAGTAGGCAGCTGGCTGGTTTTCCTGGCCTAGATGATGAGTTACATCTTCCATGGCTACTCCCTGTCCCTCAGCCAGAAAGAGAGAAAGAAAAAGGCTTAGTCAGATCTGGGATTCCTAAAGCTGAGCCTACATCAAGGCCTGTTTTAAGGCTTTAGAAGCCACTTGAATAGCTGCAGTCCATTTTAGGGGTTCAGTTTCTGGTCCTCGAGTTGCCTCATATGGTGGTTTGACTAACACTCCAAAATGGGGTATCCCTGTGCCGCAGACACCTGCCATTCCCAAGAAATCCCTCAGTTGCTGTTTAGACGGGAGAACCCAGGCAGCAAGCTGCCTCTGTTCTCTGAGGACAAATGTCTTTGTCCTGAAGTTCAGACATACCCCAGTAT